TCCCGGGCCGCAGCAAAATTTTCCAAGTCTACCGGTCCGTGGTAATAAAAAGGTTGGGGACCACTGGTCTAAGGCATTGATTTGAACAAACTTAAGTTCTGCTAAATCCACATACTTTAAAACTAGGGATCCACAATATCAAAACATTAATTTGGGATCAATCTATTGCAACTAATCTATTACAATTAACCCATTTTTGCTGACTTGTGACTACTTTTTCCATCTTACAAAGACACTTAAAATACACACCTGGTAAACGCAAATGCAGTTGGCACTCAGTACTGGACTTAAGACCACATTTTCAAAGTCTAGGTCTAGTCCAGACAATCGTTTTACTCTGTTTTGGCTTCCCAACATTGCTTTCCTGCATCTTTTCCTCTTTTACCACCCAAGTGTATGACACAGTACAAAAACCAAGAAGTTACGAATCAGACAAAAAATACTCAAAAGTGTTGTTAAGCAATGCACAGGAAAGTAAGTCATGGTTTGAAAGCTGTGGACCCAGTCACACCAATGTCCTCTGTCCCTCTATTCTCCTTGATTTGATGTCCATGGAGCTTTACACCTACCATCGTTTATCACATCCAAGGCCTGGTGAAATGATCCTGACTCCATTTACTTCCACATGTTTGTGTCTACTCATGTGTGAGGTGGGGAAGGGGGGACGTCCGAAAGTAAAATACCGCAAAGCTGTGGATGAATCCATGTAAAATTTTTGTGCGGGGCTGCGACCTGCAGACGGCGTCGTGCAGGAGCTGAATTTCACACCTCGTGGTCTTCCTGCTGTCAACCAGATGAGGTGGAATTGATGGACAGTTAGGACAGGGCATGGAGGGAGACCTCAGTCGGATGGAAAAGGTTGTGACAGACGACAAAGAGGTGAATGGAAAGAAGACGGAGTTGTGGTTTAGTTCCTCCTCTGCAGAGCGTATCATAAAGTGTGCATAATAAATGGCAAAACAATCTCATATTTATGCAATCTCAAATCTCTGCAGATATTTGTAATCTCTCTCAGTCAGCTAAACAAACCTCAGTGGTTTGAAGGATCCCACAGAGTAGAGTTTTTTGTTTCCCCCTGCGACAGTCCGTCATAGTCATTAGCAGCATGCTAATCAAAGCTAATTACATTGAGACAGGCAGACACAACTCATTTCTTATTATGACAGAGTGCCGCTGTGTTTGCAGTACTCAGCCAGGCACTGCTTCTAATCATCTGCTCTTTTTTTTTATCTAATATAAATGAATGGGACTTTGTTTTCTATTTGGCTTCATCTGCTGTGGATGTCAGAAGTTAATCCGAGCTGTTCAAGGCCGGCTAATCAATTTAAAGAAAATAACAATAATAAATGTGAGGCATTCAAAAAAAACCATTCAATAATTTACAAATGGCTTGAAAAATAATACAGGAACAAGTGAAAAATGAAGCTACAAAAAAAAAGAAAAAGAAAAAAAAAATCTTGCATGAAAAGTCTTCCCCTCACAGCGATGGATCTGAAGCGTCAGGCGGTGGAGAGCCCCCTCCCACACTATTCAAGTTGCAAAAGCTCATTTTAGAGATTTTGCTGGCGAGGCAGAAAAGGCCTCTGTTCCCCATTTTCCATTTTTCATATACGGCCCATTGGAAAGCATCGTCTGCAAGTGTCATGGTTTGGCACATTTATGAGAGATGCACCGGGGATATGCTTAAGTTGAGTCTTTTGAAAGTCACTCTGCGCTATATGTTAATTCACTGAGAGCTAAATCACAATCCCTCACATAGAAACAGGTTAATGCATCATTCAGTTTATATCCAAAGACTGGAGTTGAGTAATAGCTGAGAATTATGTCAGTAACATTTCTGTAAGAAACGTAATAATATGTTAATAAAAGATACAAATTCAAATATCAACACTTAAACTTGGTTAAATACAGTTTTTTTTTAAAGTGACCTAAATCCAGATCTTACTGCTTATAAATAACTACATTTTCTTCTATTTTTTTCCAATTGATACCTAGAACATGTAAGGCAAACATGCAAAACCCTTTTTAAGTTTTCTTACTTATAATAATTTACACATCTTTTTCCAACAACAAACGTGACTAGTGTATTTGTTTAATTAAAGTATTGCACGCCTGCTTTATTTATTGTTGAGCAGGTAAAAGAACATTATTTTGGGCATTACTTCGGCCCATGTGACAAAATGTTTGGATGCCCCTGCAGTATACACTTATGGTAAAATGATTGGGATAAAGTAAAGCATTTGCTTACCCTTATGGGCTCTTAAAATATTAAACACCAACTTGAACTTGAAACCATATCAGCTGTGATCCAATAACTTACAGAATCACTTTTAGCTGTAAATCTCTGTCTTTATCAGGCTCTCACTCTTGTGTTTTCCTGCTGATACTCAGAGTCTGTTGCTTGGTCTGCTTGGGTCAGACGTCTGTACTTTGGTCCAAAAGATATTTCTTCTGAAGTCCTGTGGTTGCAAACCTAAGCCCTGTTCCCACATTTGTTCGCTTCTCTTTCCACGTTTTCCAGCCTCTTTCTACTCTCATCAACTTCACCATTTATAACATGCAGAGACCTGTAGACTTTAAAATCAGCTATCTGGATATCGCACAGTTTGACCGTAGGGTGAATGTACCAGGATATCTGCAGCTTTGGCAGATTCTCAGTTGTCACAACTTGTTTTCCACTTATGGATAATCTCTTTCAATGTTTGATGAAGATGAACTTACTAATATAACCCTTCCCTGACTGACAGGCAAGTAATGAACTCTTCACAAGGTCATTGCTGATGTCTTTCATACTTAGTATCACTCATACAATACCTGCAAAAAAAACATAAACTATGTTTTTTTTATTGGTTTTACTGATGAAGATACATTTTAGAAAAATGATAATTTGCTGTGTATAAAAAGCTAATTATCTATATAATTTTCTATGTAATCTTACACCTTTTTTGGTTTACATTTTTGTTTTTGCAATTGATAGGGATTTAAATATTGTTTATATAATTCTGTATTAGTTTTGTCTTGTTCTTTTTTCTTTTGCTATTTTTGTTTAATTTTGTTTTGTTGGGTTTTTTCAGCAACGTGTTTTTTTTTTTTTTTTACGAGTGTATGGAAATGCTAAAAAAATCACCTAAATAAATAAATAACAGTCTTAAGAATATAATACAGATACAATGTTAAAATCTATTGCTTTATCTCAAACTTAAATGTGCTGCAGAAAAGAGTCTTAGTTTAGTTTAAACTAAATTATTTTAATTAGATGCATTATTGAATATACTAAAGTTAAATTATAAACTAAACGTGGAGTTACGAGACTTTAACAGTTCGTAATAGATTAAACCCAAACATCAAATTAAAAGTTACCTGAAGAATAAAAAAAATATCTTTTCAAACCAGGATGTCCTGTTTTCTGTGGATAAAATTTGTCTGTCTGCTTAACATTGTATCTAGTTGTTTGGTATTTTTTAAACCACTTTCTACTTTCACCATTTTTTGGCTTATTAAAGAATAACAAGATGAGATTTACAGCTGAAATCAGATCTAAGTAACTTGAAAACCCTGTAAAGACCAGATTCTTTTTATTATGTTCAAATTTATGCAGAGCCTAAAACTAAAAGCGGACGTGCTTTGTTTCAACGTGGCTGCATAGAGTCACATGCAATAATTACGGCCTGAAGGTTTCAGTGTTTTTCATGTCGCTGTCATAAAACATGGAAGACAGAAATGTCTGAACAGGGGATAGCCAGTGTTCATGTCTCTTTTTCCCTGAGGTGTGCTGATTAGTGAGACAACAGGTTAAAAATCACAGCTTTATATTTAAACAACCACATTTTTACACAGGAACTAGTCATCGTTTGCAAAATAACGTAATTTGGAAGTGAGGCAGAAGTTTTGGAATAATTCGTGATACACAAGCAGCTTTGGTGGGAAAATGTTGAGATCATTTCCAGATTATAAAGAGAAATCGACACGGGGAATTTCCAGATTTAGTTTGAAGTGATCAGTGATCCAGCAACGAACAAAAAACCTCCAGGAACTCAAGAACCCAGGAATTCACTGAAGAGCTGAAATCGAAGAAAGCTAAAGCAGAGTAAGAGTCGGGCCAAACTCCTTCTCCTCCTGCTTCGTCATCGCTTCTCTCCGGCAAAAAGTGCAAATTTCCTTCCCAGGTGATAAGAGTGGGAGAATAAAAGAGGCGGGAAACAGAGCTGGGTAATACTGATAGACATATTCACTCTGAGCGAGCAGACCTGGAGTTTTTAAATCAAAGGATAAAAAAATAAAATGCTCCCTCAGCAGAGGTGGGTTTAGTTGGATGAATGGACTTGACGGTAGAGGTGAGGCGGCGGTACGGAGGAGGTTGGCGGATGTCAAAGCAAGTGGCTGAGACATGGCTAATGCTGCCGCTGAGCTGTGGCCACCTGAGTAATTACTACCTTCTCTGTTTGGTTAATCCCCCGGAGCGGAGCAGCAAACTCAGGAGAGAAACGCTCCGAGCGCTGAAGGGCTCTCGTCATTCAACTTCAATTATGATGAGCTGCGACCCGCCTCGCTCAGAGAGACACGGAGGGGAAGGAAGACAAAGAAAACACATCTCTGGAGTCTCTTCAGGCAAAAAAAAAGGAGATGATTTTGATATTTTAGGGCTTGCTCTGGTAATTGAACTCATTTATTGCCTTAGATTTAACACACTGACGTTTAATCGATTTGTTTTCTCTGGAAAATAAAGTGATTTATTGGAATGTTTTATGCAGGAGACAAAACTAAACAAAAAAGTTTTTGAACATCCTTCTCTATTAGATACTGCTGTCGCGTTTGGAAGAACTGCAGAGACGTTGCTCCACTCCTCACTTTTAGCAACTTTTCATTAAATTTTGCTGAACATTTTATGTCCAATTGTTAGAAAAAAATACCTGCTGTCGAAGAGTGACCTATTTCTACAGGTCTTTGTAAAGGTTTTATACAGACGCAGGTGGCTTTGTATTTTGCTTCCATGCAAACAGATTTCCTTGTTATCATAAAAGTGGTTTTGATGGAAAGTTCTTTAGACTATTTTGATCTACTAATCTATTTTGACTGAAAGTAATAATTCTTAGATGGTCCAGTGAAGGTTGAGGTGTTTATATGATAGATAATCTAAAGAATTGGATAATGGAAGAGACTAAGATATCGACATCATAGATAAAAAGGTCAAAGCAACTTTGGAGACATTCAAGAAGCTGAACAGCAATTATAGGTTTAATAGAAGTCTACATTTTTTTTTAAATAAAAATGGCTGACAAAAGTATACAAATTAATACTTTTTCCTAATCAAACACTCCCTTTACATTGTTTTATTGAATAAGTAGAGGTGTCGGTCTCATTTCCCGTGAAAACAATCTACTTAGTGGGATAAGGATTTCAAATCTAAATCTGCAAGGGGTATGAATAACTTTTAAAGTAAATCCAGGAGGAAAAAATGTTCCCACCCATTTCTTATTGTATCTGTATATAACAAGGCTGTAAATTTACACAGAGATCCTTTTAGCCCATCAAAGATAAATCAAACTATGAACTTCAAACGAATAAAAAACAAGACAAATTTTGGTCACGTCACTCGTTTTGTCGAGAAGATGTCTTTTGCCATGGGTATAAAAGGAATATTTTGGTTTTCCTAAAAAAAATTGAAAATTTTTAAATTTTTTATATCAACATGCCTTTTTTTCAAAAAATATTCAAACTTTGAAAAGGACTAAATCAAACTAACTACATTCACAGATTGACAGAAATTCACCTGTTTAGGATAAACTTTGCTGTAAATATGCAGCCATGAAAAACAAAAATAAATTTAATATTCTGGACTCAGCAAGCATTCATAAAGTCATAAAGAAACAACCTAAAACCACTTGTTTCAAAGCTGCAAACACTTGTTTGCGTCCCAGCATCAGACAAGGCGACAGAACTTCAACTCTTAGGGTTACCTTTGCGTTCGGAGCGCTTCTTCCGCCTCCTCTTAAACTTGCGTCGGATCAGGCAGTAATAGGAGCCCAGGCTGTGCACATCGTTGGTAAAAAGGGCCATGCTTTCGAACTCCACAATATTCTCTAAAATCAACTAAACCGCTATGAAGGAACAAGGTAAAACCTGAGCTGAAATCAGCCTGCCAGTCCTGCACCTCTGACAGCCAACGCTATCACACTTCAGCCGCTGAGTAAAGTCATGCAACAGACATGCTCAACTCCACAACACCTGCAGCGTTTCTTTGTTTCTACCCTCATACCCAAACTGTCTCTCCATCCCTCCCTCTCTTTCCTCCTCCTCCAGCTACTTCTCTCCTCTGTTGATTCCATGGCTGCCCTATCAGGAGCCAGAGAGGGAAGGCACCGGAGTAGAGTGGGACTGAGAAGGAGGAGACTGGCTGAGAGGAGAGACTGGTAGGAATTAACACATGTTGAAATGGAAGCTTGAATACATAGGATTTTTGCCAAACCCCCCACCCCCCAAAAAACAACTAACTAATTTAATCCGTTTTTTAGGTAATTAGGTAATTTAGATACAAATGCAATTAAGATCCTTTAATTATGCCCCTGCTCTATAACATGCTGTAGTTAGAGAAAGCAGTACACACACACACATATAGACAGCTCAACAATGCACAGTGACTCAACCTGGTTAGATGATAAGCAATGTTCTTTTTTTATCTACATGAACTCTTATTCCCTAACAATTGTAAAAGTCGCCAAAAAATTTGACTCTGCAAAAAATACTCTGCTTCCCTCTAGTGGTCTTATGATGCCATTGCATTTTAAAACTAAATCTTGAACTTTGTGTGCCAAATTTTATGATAACACGGCTGTAAATAACATTTTTGTTGGGTTATAAATGTTTTCAGGATGAATAAAAAACTGACACTGACCTTTGATCTCGCAGAAAGTCTGTGACTGGAAAAACCTGTTGGAGAGAAAGAGAAAAACATATTTTCCAGGTAAGTACTCAGCAGGATTTTTGGCAGAGTGAGACATCTTTGTCATTGGAACACAAAGTCATCACATTTTCACAGATGTGCTGGACCAGAAAAAAAAGACATACAGAACCCAGGAGATTCATAAATAATCTGCAGCTAAATGAACTAATACAAATTTTTATTTTCAAGTTATATAGTTATCAACACCACAACAACGGACAATGTGACTGAAGCAACCTTAAATTGATGTTTTACTTTTCTGAGTTGATCCTTCCTCCATGACTTACTGTGATTTTCTGTTCTACCAGTTTGCTCAACTCTACTGGACCTTAAACTGGAAATGTGTGTTTTGGTCAGAAAAGAATAAGATTGAGTTTTTAAAAATGAACCACTCAACATAAAATGTATTTTATAAAAAACTATGTGCAAAAAGCATCCTTCCCTTTTGTTAAGTATGGCGGAAAAGCTGGACACCTTATTGAAAATACAGAGATGTTTTAACAAATACAAATCTGGTGGCCTCTGCCTTTAAAATAAAAATGTAAGTCTTTCAGCAGGACAATAATTGAACAGATGCAACTAAATCAGCAAAGCAATGCTTCATAAAGGCATTAAACTTTCTTCTCAGTCCCTAAACTAAAATCATTCAAAAAACCTGAGGGCTGAGCTAAAGAGAAGAGACCAAAAATAGAGTCTGGACCCTATACTGTCTTCAGCAGTAGATCCCAAAGTTAGCAATCAAGGTCTGGTGTTCTGCATGTTTTATATGTTGCCCTGGTTCAACAAACCAAAATCAAATAATGGCTCATGAGCCGGGCTAAGTAAACTGAAGCTAATTCAGCTGTTTGAATCAGCTGGTTAGGAGCAACAACAGATTTTAATGCTGTTTATAACCGGCCGGCGTAGGATTCCCATGATCTACAGAGTTTGTGCAAAGGGCAACCGTTTGCACTAATGATAATCAGCATTTGTGCCAATAGGTCTGGCATTTGTGCCAATAGGTCTGGTACAAATGTTGTTAAGGAGGCATCCTAACCAGATTCCTCCCATTCATGAATAAGACACCAGAATATTTTAAGTCCTTGTCAACCGTCAACCTACCATTTATGGGGCAAACTCCTACCACCATCACCACTTTTCCGGCTCATCCATGTGGGACGTTACAACATATATCTCCTAATTTGGGTTTGTTTTTTCTCAATGAATAATTGTACAAAAATTCCAAAGAGCTAAAACTAACTGAATCTCCAGGCAAATGTGAGAACTAGAAAGCCTCAAAGCTCCACTGTCTTTCTTCTAGATATAGCACTCTGGGACAGGGATGATAGTGCAGGAATGCAAAACGAGAAGGGGGGAGAATAACAGACATTAAAGCCTGAGAAGTACAAAGGAAAGAGAGGCGAGGATATTGAGAAAAACCCTCGAGTGAGAACATAAGATAAAGAAACGAAGAAAAGCTCAGCTGAGAAGTGGAAATGAAGACAGGGAGGCGGAATGAGGTGAACAGAAAGAGTTAGGAAAGGCTTCCTCCAAAAATACTGATGAGACACAAGAGACCAACGATGTAGCGTTTCTTCAGGTCCAGCTGCTTCACATTAAATATATTTAAGGTGCTGGTTAAAGGTTAAGTGAATGAGAGGAAGGCACAGGCCAGCAGATTCAGGTTAATGTTTGTGGGGCAGAGAATCAGTATGAGAAAGTAAATGATGAACATAAATATACTCCAGACGCAAATTCATTCATGCTTCTGTGTGCAGGCCAATCATAACTTCAGCTGGCCAACTTCCATCACCACTGCCTTGGCTGACTTACATCTGCTCCGACTGCGCGCTACTTTATTTTCCTCAAATCAAGACCATAACAACCATTTCCCTAAAAATTTAAATTTATAGACCATGCACATTCTGCGAGCCAGCAACAATAAAGTCAGAGAAGCATGTGATATTGTAAAAGTTGTGAAAAGCAAACCCCGCTCAGAGCGCTCTCGGTCTTGGCAGTAGCATCGCTGACTGAGAGGAGAAGCGGAGAGAAGCTGTGGTCACCCAGCAAGACGCTTCAGCTGACCTCCTGGTGACTTTTAGTGTGGTTTGACAGCGAAACAAGAACCTTGACAAAAACAAGCTCTTAAACTGTTTTAAAGGGAGGAAATCCAGGCTTCTGTGGTCAGTTTGAGTGTTCAACTAAAATGCACAGAGATCTAAGAATAAACCAAGTGGGAACAATATTTTCCCCCTTTCTTCAAGTGTTTCCAGAGACGCTTGTATGAATTATAAACTCTATTTCCAAGGATGGAATATGACTTAACACGTGTTTCATTGAAGCTTACTTTACCCTCAATGCATTTATCCTGCATTTTTCCAGCTTTTTCCCCAAAGCAGATTAGTGAGAAATTAACAGTACGCTCTACTCTAGTGGAGATGTGTGGAAATATCTTGAATAAATTCATATCTTATGGCCGCAGCATAATCCCACAATGAAAAGAGAATTTTTTAAAAAATTGAAAAATCCACATTTTAATTTCAGTACATTAGTGGGGTCAGGATCCTGTGTTAAAAAATAGAATATAACTGGTGCCACAATTAATGGCACCTTAAACAGTGTCACTACAGCATAATTTAATTGAGCATATTTTCACTTATTCTCTGTATAAACTCCTTATTAGTAGTCCTTAACTTTTTGTCTATCAGGGGATTAAAATTGGCATGGGACGAGGCTTATTTTAGAAGAGTATTTGTTATACTTAAATTTCATAAAATTAAGTGGGAAAAGTCAAGCATGTGGTGCATGCAGTGCTGTACTCCTTTCCTTATGTTTTTCTTTCAACCTACCAGACTCTCCTGGTTCTCTGAAGCTGGTCTGGATCGGTAGTTCTTCTGGTTTTCTAAAGATCCAAAGAAAGTATTTGTTTTAGGGCTGCAGCAGCACCAGGAAAACATGTCACTGAGATGCTATTGTATGAATATTCTCATCATGATATTGCTTACGATCTTCACCACTTTTTGCTAGCATGTCAGCAATCAAAAACAGACATTACATGCATGGCCATGAACTACAAATAAACTACTAAATATTGCATGCAAGCCGTCCTTTTGAATTGCAATATTGCTAATAATGAGATAGATGGTTGTGACTCAAAATATTGCGAAGCTCTACTTTTTACATTTTTGCCTGTTTTGATTCCACATATGTGCCATTCACTGGGATAGACTGGTGTAAGTGAAAAAAAATAAATAAATCACATCCTAGGGTTGGCGAAAATGAGATTAACTTCTCCTTTCTGCTCATCAAAATTGGAAAGACGAGAGGAAACGCCACTGAAGGATGTCTTGATTTCATAAGTCAGCAAATAGATGCTCAAAACTCGTCTATTTCCAGTCGCAGCAAAAAGTTTAAAGAACTGTAGTTGTAATATTCAAGACTGTACGCAGACCCAGCTTTGTCTTCAGACAGAATGGTGACTGAGAATAAAATGCAACCCAAAGATTCACTGTTAGAGAATTCCCAACTATTAAATATGGTGAAGGATCTGGCATGCTGTGGGCCCGTTTCTTTTATAAATAGTTTCTTGTCACATCTGCTGCAAATAATGACCAGAAAATCCTTTAAAATATATTGTAATAAGTAAATTAGATTTTAAATGTCAGTGGGTCATTTCTGGTTGAAAAAAGTAAGAAAGAATATAATAAAACTAAATATAAAATAACCTTCTTTTATGGTCATCTCAGCTCCTAGATCTAAATCCTATAGAAAAGCTCCCAAGAGGATCAGGATTCTAGATAATCTAGAAAGACTCTAAACTTGTAAAATATTGTAAAAATGGAAAATATTAAGCGGCTAAAAACAAATGTTTCAAATCATGATGGGATTTCTTTCCAGTGAATGAGAACAACTAAGAGATGAATTTATTTTAAAGATTTTCAAGCATCTTCTAAAAAGAGCAGAGTATTGCACCAGACACAGGTTTTAGGATACAAAAGCCGATGGAAATAAGTGCTAAAAATACTTTAAACTGGCAGGAATTTAAATAAGCTGATGTTTAGAAAAACAACAAGCAGCAAACGAAGAACCAGTGGAGAAGCAGAAAAGAACAACCTCACCTTCAATGAACTTTTAGATTCTGAAGAGCTTCTGAAATACATTTCTTTGCAGCCTTATTTCAACTCCCAAGTTGAAGGAGTTATCTCAAGAGGAAAACAAGTGAAAAAGCAAACCGACAGACACGCGCGTGTCCTGCAGCGCCTCAATATCCGAGAACGAACGCAGATGAAAAACATCCAGACAGACCAGAGTGGAGTCTCATTTCCTTGTGAGGAAGTCAGCAACACTCACACAGTTTGGCGAGAGGGAGACGGTGCGAGAGATTAGGAGAGACAGAAGGGGTGAGCCTTTGTAGCTGCAGACCTCCTCTCAGATCACACCACAGGCCAAAAAAAAGAGAGAAAGAACTGGATACCATATTGGACCGTAATTACGTTTGAGAGGCTGGGCATATTAGAAATGGGGGGTTATGAAAGAAAAATCAGTCGACTGATATGAGGAGTGCGTGACTGTAAACCATGGCTCGCGGTATTCAGACAAAAATTAGGCCAGTGGTTTAGTAACGACTGGGCACACACACCATTAACACTGACCCCTCCCGCTGACCTACCTTTGGTGCAATGACAAAACATGTTTTAATCAAACTCTAAATTACTTTTCCATGCGGTAACACATGCTTTTTAAGTCCTTTTCTCTGACAGTTACTGTGACATCATTCAGTTCAGATATAAAGTGGGACGCGTGTCAGCAGAACTGCTTTTGTTTTTCAGAGAGTCGCCGGATCACTGCGTCCACTTTTTGTCCCTAGAAACGCATTTACCCCATGGTAATGTTTTTGTTTTATTTGTATTCCTCCAGCAGAGGGCAGCACAGTAACAGGAACAGCTATAACTGCGCTGGAATGCAAGATCATAATCAAATGTAGATTTTAGTCAGCTGACCTGCAGGCTTAAATTATTTAACATTTTAATAAGCAAATGTTTTCAGTCTAAAATAAATGTATAAGCCTCTTTACTCTGATTCATTGAAATTACCTTATCTGCAACAAGCCTGTCTTTATTAACAAAGTCAGAAAAGTGTCTAGCTGTTTAACAGTGAATCAATCGGTCAGAGATTGGAAGATTGGTGATCAATCTGAGCTTATTGGCCCCTCTAATGAAAATTAAAACCAAGAACTCCCAACATTGTGCATCTATAAATTCTTAAACCATTAGCTTTCACTTTGAAAGACTTAAAATGAGTTTATTAACAATTACATAAAGATTATGGGCATGTGCTTTGATGCATAAATAGAGGATAAAAGTGTAACTCCTCAATTTTAATTTGTTTTCAAAAACTTAAATGACTTAAAGAACATTGTTTTCTCATTTCTTTCTTTAACTAATTGGTCAAAACTGGAAGAAGCATCTCATATTCCAAAGAAATCCAGAAATTGGTTCAGGCCTGAAAAGACCTCCTCAACTCCTTTTTCCTTCTACATCAAACTCTCGTTTTATTATTTTATTCTGCATTTGAACATGTGAAATATGCATTGTGTTTAGTCTTCTGTTCTGATGCTCTGACATATTCTTTTGGGGTGCTGCTAATTTAACGTTTTGGTTGTTTTATACCTTTTTAATGCAAAGAGAAGCTCTCACAGGAGATTTACTACCAATATTCATCAATTTATTTAGTATCTACATTGACAAATTGGTTTGGAAAATGACAGTAGGAAGGGAGGAAAAGGAGAAGTGTGGGTAGGAAAAGGTCAAAAGTTAAATTGAGTCAAAACCTTTTTCAGTCTATGTGCATGAATCCCCTTTTCTTGCACTTGCTTCGTCTTTTAGATGCAGCCAACTGGGAAAAGGAACATCTTTCCTCACACTTTGAGCTGAATCACCATTCTGACTGGGTGTTGCAATGCTTCCTATTGTTTTACCCAGCAGCTCCCCTTGCTGTGGCGGAGCTTCCTGCCAGTGAGTCAACAGCAACAATCCGTAAATGTCAAAAAGCACTTTCTTTTATGTATCTCTTTAAAACAAATGTTTAAAGTTGCAGATGTCAGCTATAGTAATGCTAATTACAAAGCAGACATTACAAAATCCAGACAAGAGGACACAATTGCTGTCAACAATGGCATCTGTATGGTTTCTAAGCCCAATGAAGTCAATATTGTTTATCAGTATGTTGCATATTCAGATTGATTTAGTTAGAGAGGAGTTCAAGTTTGAGTAGGCAACTCAAAACACAAAGCATGAGGGATGACATTTCCATTAATGGCATATTTTCAGGACTAAAAGACAGACAAGAAAAATACAAAATGCTGAAGGATGCGGGATGCTAGTTGTGCTATCGCTGCAAGCTAACGCTATAAGCTAATACTAACTAACTTCTATGAGATTTCCTGACCTCAATGCAACCTGCATATGGTGAAGAAAAACGTACACGTCACACAGCAGCAGTTTATAGAAAGTAATAATTAGTGTTGCCATATTTGGATCAATTTTAAAGTTGTTGAGCAGTGGGAAAATCAGATTTGGGTCACAATTGCACACAGTGCAATTATATGTGCTATGTATTTGCTATGTTCACGCAGCACATATATGCCGTGTGAACATAGCAATAGATGTATTTTAATTAAACAACGGATGAATGGCTTCCTCTTGATGGTTTTGCCAAAATTAAGGAAAGTATGTAATTAATTACCTTTTTAGCTCTTATCTAAAAAGGACCCTGTTCTTTTAAGTTTCCATGATATTTCAAAAGATATTGAGTATTTTTCTTGGAAATTGTAGTTTTGTGAAAGCTCCACTACGTTCATTTTTTTCAAGAAGTCGGAGTTATTTTGGCTTGATCAGAGGTCATAATCAACCTGAAACTGCTACATATGTACGATCACCTGGTTAGATCCATGATGAATCTGACCAGCAGTCAGGATCTGGACGTGTGCTGTGAGCTCCTGGTGAGGCTTCGCTGAAGCAGGTGACGAAGCAGCTGGTGGCTCAGTGGAGTATCACAGAAGCCACATGGCCTCAACATATTTGCCAGCACTGAAGGTTAGTGGTGACATAGCAGAATAAGGTTAGATTTAAGGTGGAGAAAAATGAACTAATTTTACTTAAAAAAAAAGCATCATTTACTGAGAATTGTAGATTAAATGCGGCATCACTGAAAGCCAAAACTGTCTTTTTTTATCAGCAAGCGAGCAGAGAAGGAAAAGGAATCCACGAAGGTGGTACGTTTCTCTAAAATTAGACTCCAGAGTGAAACCTCTGACCGCAGATTTCAGGACAAACCATCAGCTAAGCTCACTGCTTTGTCCCCAAAAAAGAAGAGTGTAATTCAGATTGAATTTTAAATAATAAGGGCTGTGAGTAGAAATGAGTTAATTCTTCCCATGGGAGTTCCCACCAGTTCCCAGGCCAACCATTAACTCTTACTCCTGGCTTACTGGGTGTGGTTCCCTCTTTAACCAAACCTCCAGTTCTCTCCCTGACTAGGATGTATCCGTTTCGTTGCCTGTGGCTCTGAGATTTTTGGCCCAAACATGACAAGAATCTTTGTGTGTGTGTTGGCAGACACATATATGTGCATATATACTTGTCAGCTCAATACAGGCAAACAATAGGCCGCTCTATGTTTGTCCTTGCTGGCAAGATGGACATAAGGGCAAAGCCAACAAGCTGTAATAGAGGAAGGGCGAGAAAAGGGCAGCAGAGCGCAAGCCAGCAGAGCTATTTTCAAATTCAAGGTGCTTTTTTCACATATTTAAGACTGATTTAAACTGAGTCACAGATGATGTTGCTGCACAACACAGAAGGCATGTCAAAATGCATCACGCCTCCTCGGACTCTGTTGCTTCTCCAGTTTTATTTTAGCATAAACACGGTGCTGCAGTGACTGCTAATAAAGCGGAGCTATTTTGATTTTCTTTCACAGCTGTCGTGGTGTTCCCTCATCTCAACTCTGATCCTGCAGAGCTGCAGCAGGAAGGAGAAAACTCTTGTTTTCATAGCAAAAACGACTAAACCAACATGGTGTGAACAAGTTCCTGCTTTTGAGCAGGCTGGATGTTGATGGATGGATGGACGGATGGATCATTTAAACAATGGGACAGGAAATAAACAATTTTCTGTTTCAATATTTACTCAAACTGACTAGGAAAAAGTCCTGATCCTTTTCTAGGAACTGGAGGATCAAGACAGTGCTGTAACAAACGATTATTTGATTATTCTGACGATTAAGCGATTAATTGGATTTTTTTTAAAAAGGTCATATTTTAAAGATTTTTCACTTAACCTCTTACGCTTTCTTTAAACTATACTAGATATACATTAAAGATATAAATAAAACAAATAATTAAAATCTTTTCTTTTTAAACAAGGAAATATTTTATTCCCTTACACGCAATAAAATACAAAATCTGAACAGGGTGAAGCTAAAACTTTGCCACTTGAGTTTCGGGTAAAATATTTGTATAGAAAGGTTTTTTTTTTCTTCTCAAACATGATATGTGTAAATATTTTGGACAGTTCTGGCTTAAGTACTGCTTTGAATATGTTCTGTTTTCTCAGCAAATGGCCTTTTTCTGGGTCTGCTTTCTCCAAGTAATTTCAATAATCGATTCATCACAATAAACCGTTTCAGCCCTACATCTGGGGTCTCGGTTTAATGAACCTGATGTCACCCTTCATTGGTATGAAGATGTTTAGATACAAGTTTGAACCGGGAGGTGTCGACACCATTTATGTGACAGTGATTTAAAACGACTGACAGCGAGCAGTCAATCTTTCAGCAGAGATCCGAGGACATTTTAGGAGCACAAAGACGAGATGATGAATAGCATGTCGGAGACGAGCCGTGCCCGCTCTCCGCCCTTGAAAACACACACACACACACTAAAAAGAAAACACTTCATAAGTTGCTCATTATCCACAACAGGGGTACCCAGCCAGAGTCCCATCATGCTGAAGAAGCACATTTGCTCTCATTTGAATTGTCCTCTCCCTCTTTGTTGTATTTGTTATATGTTGCAACGAACACGTCAGCAATTTCTGCTGTGACGAACGAGCCTCTTCTCAGCCAATTTATCATTCTGGCCTGCTGGGTGGCCATGTTGCCGGCGCAACTTTCCATTTCCTGTGTGCCACAGAAGTGGGGAGGGGGCATTAAAACCACAGGAAAAACACAAACAGTGTAAAAACACAGATAAGGTGGTGTGTAAGGCTACAACTGCTGTAGTGTGCCTAAAATTACAACGTTTTAACAGTCAGCTTAATTTCAGTTTCACACAGACCCGGTGGCAATAAAACACCCCCACAAGAGAGATCTTTGCTGCATTGCAATGCGGCGTGACATTGAGGATAATTACTGCACTGAAACACACCTGACTGCAGCTAAACACCCACAATCACAGAGAGGAAAGTCAAAGAGGCCGCTTCCTGTTTGAAAACAAAACGCAGTTCCAACATTTTACGAGTTCCTTGGTTATCAGCCCACGTACTGCTGTAGTATTCTCAGTTTTTCTGATCTTGCACCCTTGTGGTTTGAAGTTGCATTGATTTATTTCTCTTGGACCACTTCAGGACAAGAGAACTGTGTATACAATAGGAGAAAAAAATAACATGGGGGGAGTTTGGAGTTAAATCTCGGCTTTTTTGCCATCACTGCACATTTCTTTGCATCACAAGTTTTTGTTCAAATTGCATCATTAATTAAAGCAACCATCTGGTTTTAGTAGTGAATGTTTGCAGCCTGTAAATATTAAAGGGTCAGTATTATGTCTTTTTCAGGGACATAATGTAATTTTATAGCTCAATCAACTATGTTACCTAAAGTTGTTATAAAAATGCTGTATCTACCAAGCATAAAACAATCTTTACAATCTGACTTCATAAAATTGGTACACTGCCATCAGCACATCATCACCTCAATGCTCCTCCATTATGTCATTTAAAACTTATCTTGGCACATCGGACTTAGGAGCATGGAACTGCAGACGCACATTTCCATGAGGTGTTTGCTAATGACTGCTGCCACTAGTCTGAAGGAGCTGAGTTATTGAGAGGTGTTCTGTGAGGCAGAAGCTTGTCTGGGTGCTGGAGCTCTGAGGAAGACCTTTATGGAAATAGGCAGTACTTTGCGAGAGCAAGCCTTTAAAGAATGAAAGCAAAACTCCAGGTATGATTTCAATGAGGGAATAACATTATAAAATTATATAAAGCTCAAAAAAGCTATCTTGCATAATGCTTTCCCCTTTTAAAGACAAAAACAACCAACCCCCAGTCAAGAAAAGGCATTACTTTTTGTCCAGGAAATAAATGACTTCGTGTAAATTAACAGCTGTAATAAACGTTCAAAAATATCTTAAGGGTTATCAGAGCAATGGAGCATTACCTACTGGTCAGTAGTCATGTTTAACTGCAGCTGCAAATTCTCTCTGTCTTTTGTTTGACAGCACTAACTGGATTGAGTAATCCTCTAAACAATGAGAAGTGAAGGCTTAAAAAACGTATCATTAGACGTACACAACTTGAGAAATTCTTTTGGACACAATTCCAAACAAATGCACATTCCGAGAGTCTCACTCCAACAACTGGTACAAAGTATCTACATGTTTTACTACTTTGTCAAGTCTTAGAGAAGATTCAAACCGTCTCTTTCAGATGAAAAGAAACCGGTAATGATGTTCAGGAACAACCCAGGTATCGCCACAAAGCTGCCATGAACTGGAGACTAACTGAAAATGTGTCTCACTGTCTCAGTGAAAGAAGCAGCTTCTGCAAAATGGCTACTTCTCAAGCTTCACTGATATTTGCAGCTGCCCACATGGCCAAATCAAAAGCCTTCTGAGAAAAGTCAGACAAAACAAAGACGGAGCCATTTGTCCACAATGGCAGGAAGAATGTTTCAGGAAGTTGTGCTAAATTAGACGTTGTTGGTTGAAAGAATGACCGACGACTACCTTCAAATTCTTCAACTTCAACTCATGTAAAATACATGTCCAAACTTCGGTGTTTCAACACCTCAGTGATACCAACAGACATACAATCTGGTTCTGGAATAGCTAAAACAGGTAAGCATGAAAGCCTGGAATGATTTTCCCAAAGTCTGATCCCTATAGAGAATTTGGAAACTGCAGTGGACACGAGGCTATTTGCGTTTAAGTTTTCACAAATTCACAGATTTTTCTGTGAAACATAACTCCAAGTTATTTGTGGAAAATCATTTCATTTATAATTTCCTCCCAAATTGTTAGGCTCCACAACCCAAGTAGTAGCAGAATATCAGAGGTTCTGCATCTTCAGTTACACATTTGCACTAAAGATGTGACTTCAATCAATTTTATTAGTCATAAAAGTAAGCCTTTCTCCTCTGTTGTTAACATTTATTTGGCAATAGACTTTTAACTCCCATGTATACCTGGAGGTGAACTGAAAAAATGCTGCTCATCAACAAAAGCAAAGTCTAATCATCCATCCTTAGATTTAGTCTTTAGGAGATGAACAGAAACTAAAGGTGTCTTGCAAATGTTTGGCAAATACTAAAAGATGAATCGTCTGAGTAGTTTGATGCACTTCCAGTTCTTTTTGAAACGTGAGTTAAAATATTTGCAGTCTGCTACAATAAACAACCAATTAATCACAAATGTTGGTCTGCAGCTGTAAAACTTTTAAAAGAGTCACGCAGTAACAGAACTGCTACATCAGGACTGTTTCAGGGTTCATACCCAGTAAACATCCAGGTGTCCCGCCCAGGTGGATCTCTGCATGCGGAGCACCTTCACAGGTGCACGTTTTGAAGCGAGTCTGAGAAACAGTTCGTTCCTTTTCTCTCTCGACTATCTGGGTCAACCATCTGGGAAGCTGCCAAAGCCTTGGCAAAGTGGGCAGGTGGCCATCACAACTGGCTTATGACCAAGAAAAAAAAAAACTTCACATAGAGACGCAAAGATAGAAAAATCCAGAACCACCAGGGGAAGATCTGTACTGCGAACTCCCGGAGCGGAAATTCAGCTCAGCTACCTGAGTCTGGATGAGATTCTTTGGGATGAAACTTTACAACTACGCTACATGGGATCCGATACATTTAAATGAAGCCATACTTGTGATTTTTGAGTCAGTTTACTGCTTCACTGCTGAATCTCACATGTCAGGAAGGAGGGTTTAGAGCTCATAAAGACTCAATCCTGCCTCACAGATGCTCTCAGAACCTTTCTTCTTCTTTCCGCTCCTCCATCTGAACAATGGCAGAGCAAGCTTTCCCAGACCCCTTCTATTCACCGGTCCTGGATCGGATTACCACAGAGGAGCTGAAAAACTAGGCCACCTCATGTTGTGTTCACATGTGTGCGTCTTATGATAGTAGAAGACGTGAGGATCCGGTAAAGTAGGTTACATCTTACACCTGGTAACTAGAAAAACTCTTTTGTGAAAAATTATCCTTCGCCCGGGAAATCTGTTCCTGCATGAATGCAAACAATTCATTTACTGTTTATTGTTAAATTTCATAAAAATGTTGTGTCCTAAACTGCAAAGTAGAAAATAAAATCAGCCAAAGCAGCGCAATAAAGCTGAAGGGGGAAAAACATCCGCCAGTAGGTAGTCTTTAACAATTTATTAGTCTAGGGTTGGGATTTGGAAGCTGAAGTGCTGTGGAACGATGGTAAATCTGATTTGTAGCTGGTTTTCCTGGTTCCATGCTGCATGTGACCTGCAAATCCCTCTCCATGGAAGTCATTTTATACTATAGTAGACAGTGTCATTCCCTGGATATATAAAAAAAAAAAAAAAAAAAAAAAAACTTGAATTTTACTGCAACAGGTCTATTTAGCCCCCCCTTCGCTGATCCAGGACTTCCACTCAGCGATGCTCATTCAGGCAGTGGAGAGCTCTGATTTGGTTATCTGAAGCAGAACAAGAAAACCAAATCAAACATTGAAGACGTCAAGCTGAACGCCAGTATGACTATCTTTGTAGGTAAGGAACCAAAATAATAGTCTTTGGACAGCATCAGTACTGTAAATGTAAAAAGATCTCCTGGTGCCATGCTGCAGAACCTATAAAGTGGATATGAGGCAAAGACAGACATGTCTTTGGCGCTGAGATACTTTCACTTTTAGGCTTCCCAGCTTCTACTTTTTGGTTTTCCTTTTCTGTAATCTTCCTTTGGCCAAAAACTACATGGGTTAAGAGCACACTTTTGGATCTGTGTGTGTAGTAAGCTGCGGAAATGAATCTGGCCCATTTCAGACCATTACAGATTTCTTCTGCATTTGCTTTTCTGTCAGACTTCAATGTTTCACATTTATTACTTCTGCGATCTGGATATATGAATTACTGCACTGATCTTAATGTCATTAAAAAGCATTAAATCAGTGTAATAGAGTATTAATCTCAGACTGTGCGGGTGTAAAACCTAAGAAAAATCACTTCAAAGCATCTTGCTTTTTTTCGTCACCAAAATAAAAAGTAATTATTGTCAGGTATAAAACTATAACTGATGATTTTGTCGCAGTGTTTGCACTTGAGTAACAAACGTACACTCCACTGTTTCTCATGAGATAAAGCTTGAAGAATAGATGGGATTACAACCCATATTCTACTGAAAAATGTAAATTGGAGGACATTTAAAAACAAACAGAAGAAGGTTTGTCACTAACATAATACTTTAACGATTCTGGTCTACATACCTAAAAATGGCTTTGATGAGACCATTACTACCTCAGCCTCTCTTGGAGTGTGAAAACATAACTCTGCTTTCATTTAATTATCGTTTCCACAAAGGTTAGCTGATTTTATTAATGGAACTGTGGCATGTGGATATATTTTTATGGTTTCAATCAATACCAATTACCCCCAAGGGGTTATTTACTGTTTACAGAAAATACAAACGGAAGAGGAGTTTAAACTGGGAGACTCCGAAAACAAAATGCTGGAAATATTAAATCAATCAGAAATATTCAGAACTCTGTCATCTACAAAATATTCCCTTGGTTAAGGGTTATTCCAGTAGGTACAGCCTCCCTACCAAAGCTCTTTCCTATGAGATAATGTGTTTGATCTTCTCTAGAAGGTAGGATTCGTACCAAGTCTTAACATTTGGTTGAGAATCTCTTTAAAGTATGCAGCTCTGTTAAAGTGTTCATAAACTTTAAGCACTGAGTCAGTCTGAACGGTGTAGGATGGTGGAACATCTTCCTGCGTTTGCCATCTGTTCAAAGCCGCCCAAGGCTGGTCGGCTAGTGACGTGTGAGCGAAGCAGGTCTGACTAGTGGGCAGTCTGCCTTCTGTCCATCTACATGCTTAGTGAAATATATATGCTATACTTCACAGAAGTATATGCATAATCTATTAGCCATTGACAATCAAAAAGATAAAAAAAATCATGTTTAAAATGAATAAAAATCTACAGGCTATTAAAAAAATAGCACAATCACTACATGCTGTAATCCAAATTATTCATTAGTTCAGTTAGAAAGAATCTTTTACAACATTCTTTCATTGCATGTACGAAAGCTATTCTTTGCCAAAGTCAACATCCAGTCCATTATTTGTTCTCTATTTGTGTGGTTGTTAAAGATTTAAAGCCATTAGGCTGCAGAACTGCATTTGACATTTCCTTTCACCATGCAGAGGCCACAGTTACATAAGGGTTACTATTTTAGACTGGCAGATTTCAGCCAGTGCTGCTCTGGTAATGGGCAGGTATTTTAGAGTACATCACAAATACAACTGATGAACAGTGTTCAAGTTTCTCTCTCTGTTAAAACAGAGCTAAAAGTGTGCATATATGCTCCAATAAGATCACAATTCAGTTTATTTTTTTCTGCATTTACTATAACGCTCAAACAAACAACTAAGTTTGTCCACAAAGCCGCATGGCATTGCACTGGGGCACATCTGTGGAGTTATCTAAAGGACAAATGATTTATTAGCAACTTGCTGACTCAGGAGGGTTTCAATGTCATTTAGCCTTTTGGTCATCCAAGGTGAACCAGAAGCTGGGGCAGAGAGAACGAGGGGGCAGATGACAGAGAGAGACCATGTGTGCCCAAGAGAGCTCTGGTGAGTCAAAGTGGAGAGAGATAAATCGAATCAAAACAACTCATACACATCTATGCTGGTAAGGCCTCTTTCTTTGTTATGTGTTTTAAAGGTTAACAAAACAAAATCCAGGCAGGCCACTGGGAAATTTCATTATCAGACTGATCGCATTTACAAAAATGCAGGTTTTATGATTAAACGCAGAAATACACTTGACCGTCGTCTATTCATGGTTCAGGATTCGTGGAGATTTCTGTGGAATGCAACTTCAAATTATTGATGGAGAATCTGCCTATTTGCAGTGTTTTTCGATAAAGTATACCTAAAATATTCAAAAGACAATGGAGCTTGTCCACTCTGGGAACTCGTATACCTTAGGAAATTATTTTTCCAAAATAGATGGATTAATACCTTTTTCTCTAATTATTCACGTTCATTAGAAAGGTTCCTCACAGATAAAGTTGGGCCAGGTTTCATTTGCCTGTTTGACAGAATGTACCTTCACTTCAAATGCATGTTGCCATTGTATCTCTTCCTACACATCCATGTGTTGCATATTTCTTTATTTCTCTAGTAATGTAAGTACTTAGTAACACATAATGACAAATATCACATATTTTGATAAAATTATTTTCTTACGCTTTATTATCATTGATTGTGATTCGGATTTTCAATTAAATCCGTTTACTCTTACAGTATCCAAAAACATATAATCAAACCAAAGAAGCCATTAGTGGTCTGCTGATGGTAGATGCCATTTATTGGCATCCTATAACTGTAAAATAAGCAGGCATTGTGGCATTAAATGTCCACAAGGTTGGTACGAATTGGTTCCTTAGGCAAAAATGCAATTTTTTTTAATGCCTAATAGAATCAAAACTGCAAAAGCAGTACCAGCTTTTTATTTATTTAGCTACAATGAGCATTGTCATTATCTCAAAATCTACATTCTATTATTTTACATAGTAGAATTTGCAGTGGAATCTGATTTCTGTAAACAAAAATCACTTAGAGAATTGTCCACTCTGGGAACAATGGCATTCTGTGTAGTCCTACAACACCTCAAAGAAAATGCACCTATCCAAAAATAAAGAGCTATTATTTAATTCCTACTGCTATATTTTTAGTTTCACTGAATCTGTAAACATATGATGACTAAATTATCTTTCTCAACATTTTCCAATGTAAATACACAAGCTGGGAGTGTAGTTTCACATTCAATAAAACTAAAATATATAAGAAGTCTGACGTTCATGTTTTTAAGTTCCTAAAAAAAGAATGCCAATAAGATCTGTTTTCTTTTCAGTTTTTTTTTTTGTTGTTTTGGCAAAATGTGTGAAGTAAGTTTGCACTACTTTTCCGCCAATAATCTAAATTTATTTAGTGTGGGAGGTTGCAGAGAAGCACTGTGGGTGGGAGCTAATGTGTGCATATGGGAACATGCGTAAGGACTGAAAATATTTTTGTGAGAAAGGAGCCAACGACAATTGGTTTGTGAGCTTAAAAAACTGCTTTACCATGTTTGGGGCTGTTTTTCACTGATGTTTTGGGTTTTACAGGTGTATTTTTGGCACCATTCTGAAATCTCCTTCATAAATCTATAGCTGGATGTGTCTCATACCTAGAGGAATTGTATGTGAAAAACAGAGTTTTCAAGAAGACGTTTGATCTGCTTAACGGTGTCTCTGGAAGTACTTTTTTTCACTCAAGCCTCTTAAATTGGAAATAAAGGACATCTTTTACAGATACCTCTTCTTTAAGCCTACAATAAACCAATCAGACAAAAAATTACAGCTACTGGCAGATAAAGTAGCATGCTGCTTTCCTGTGATTAGGATAACCTTCATTTTTAACTTCAAAAATGTGTTTTTTGAAGTTAAAAACACTTCAAGTGGTTGTAATGTGGACTTTTGCCCACCCACCTCACCAGTGCTACAGGTTTCCAATCAAAACCCACCACACACAAACTGAACTCCCTCAAAGTAACAACACAGTCTCAGTAAGACAAAAATGTTTCTCTACCCAACTGTTACAGTGATAGATCTGGACTGCAGAGCCAATTAGTGACTGATTTTATCAACCAAAACGCAAAATAATAGAGAGAAAAGACATTTGTTTCTGCAGAGCAAGCGACCAACATCCTCTCATCACATCTTCTCCAGCAAATGCTTCATCCTCTCTGACGTTTTCTCAGTTTCTCTGAAAACCAAAACTGTGGCACATGGTGAACAGAGATTTCTTTTTACACATCATGAAGCAACTGCTCACTTTTTGCATGTCCTCCCACTACCTCCTGCAAAAAAAAAACAAAAAACAAAAAAAAACTCACAACTGTGGAGCCAGGGTTATGGGCAGATGTTATCGCCACCTACAGGTGTGGGTTTTATTACGCAGCATTGCTGTTAGAAAGTGAGCACACATATTTGGTAACAGCTGTTACTCCTTAACATCAGACAGTGTTTATAAATGCTCTTTACATTACTCCTCAGATCAATGTTTATGAACATCACTGCACATTGAAGCTACACATGCTTTCAAGAATAATTTATAAACACCAGAAGAAAATATTAACATCTGAAGAAGTTGTAAGCAAAGTTCCAAATAGCGGTTAGAAATTCACCAAAAAACAGCAACAAACAACACAGCACCACTAAACTGATAGCTTTAAAACATGACATTCGTAACTGTTTTACTACTAATCCATCTTTCTAATTGCA